TCGAAAATTTGAAGGGTCATTAGTATTCCCCTTCTTATATATATGGCACACTTCACCAAACGACCACGATGTAGGTGGGGTTTTACCGTCTAGGAGCACCTTATTAAATAAAGTTGCCAAAAAATGATGGCTGCTTTGAATATGTTTTAAATATTTGTAATTCATTCCATCTGGACCCGGTGCTGACGACGACGATGATTTCTTTAACATATTTTTTATGTCTCGAGGTTTAACTGCTTCCAAATTAAACGGTGCGTTTATGCACGGAGGTGTAATGTTAGATGGTATTCCATACGTTTTACGGTAATATGCATTTATCTGCCTTAAAACGATGGAATTTCGTCAGCATTACTGTTCATTGAAATACTCTTAGCGAAAAAATAAGGGTCATACCGTCTGTCTTGCATTGTCTGCTTTATCTGCCTCCTTGGTAATAACATTGTGTGCGCGAATTACCTCAGTACAGTTATCATGGCTCGGCCAATATATATTCCGACGCTCGTTGTTCTTCAGTTTAGTTGCTTTCTCCCTAATCTTCTGAATGCTCCTTTTCCTATGTGGACCATTATTTTGTTTTTCATAGAAACCATGATTTAATAGTGTTGTTCTTAATACATTACCAAATTCAAGAGCTGCTGCTTCAGGTCCGATAATGTCGTTGCACAGTTCTGTGTGTATTGGTGAGACAGCGCATTTAAAGTCTGCATTAATTGCATTCCAATCCGGCCGACTGGATTCGAATAATGGTTTCATTGCGAGCCGTACAGGTTGGATAAAAACGTTGAAGCACTGTGTTGATAGCCTAGCTTTAAGAATCCACAAAAAACACAGAATTGATACAAAAACACCAAAATTATAACTTAAAACGTATTCTAGAGTAACTCTGTGAGTGCCAGAACATCAGTGTAGAGCTTACAGTGGGGTTAAACCCGGGATATTAAGGCAAACACTAAGAGCTGTTATAAGCGGTCGACTCCATTCGTCATCATATTCTTGCCAGTATTATGCAAGAAAACCTTACATTTACAGAAAAGATAATTATTTCTACCCACCTATAAGGTACCTAGAAAAGCTCTTAATTAGGTTTGACATATCACAGAAAAATATAGATTATTTCAAGGTTTCTTTATTGCAGTGTTGCAGTCTTTCCAGAGACTTCCATATCACAGATAAATGGATTGTAAACTAATCATTGTGAGTGTGACAGATTATTATGACCTGTAATTAAATAATAACATAATAAATAAACTGCCGATAAACTTCAAGCAGAACTTTGTAACATTAGAAAATTTATGTCATGGAATGGGTACCCTTTAAAAGTTGTTAACCATATACTTAATAAATTATATGAACCTAATTGTATACATAGGCCTACTGATGATAGCTTGATTCAGATTTGGGTTAGATTGCCTTATCTAGGAAAGTCAGGTGAATCCATTTTATTTAGATGCTTAAACAAAGTAAAGAAACACTTAGTTAAAGAGGTAAAATTTATAACATTATTGCAGTACAAAAATGTCTCTCATTTTATATCTACTAAAGATCAAACCTTAAGGAATATTATATATTGTTAGTCTCAAAAGTGCTGCTGCGGAATACCGCGATATGGTTATTAGCAATCGAGATGAATGTATACAAATTGTCAATTTACGCGGTGGTGATTAGCAATCGAGATGAATGTATACAAATTATTTACGCGGGGATACCGCGATCCATCGCAATTGAAACATATGTCTGTAGGCTATCAAATACGCAGGTACACCGAATCAATATCCACACACAAGTTGCTCAAACGAGGACGATAAATGCGCCGACAACGCTCATGCGAGAATATCAGGTCATAACACTCGCTAAAGTAGGTTACTGTTGTAGTTGATGTGACGTTTCCACGGAAAAAAGATTATATTTTTTTTTTATCGATCGAGATCATCGAGATTATTTACAACTAGTAGAACTTTAGCCTATACGCGGGCCATTGCAGTGGCTGGCTACCGCAATCCAGTGTCATTCTTCAAGATAACGCGGTTATACCGCGATAAGGGTGATTGACCGTGATAAACGTGTACAGTTGTAAGTTTACTTGGGAATACCGTGATCCATTTGCAAATGCAATCATGTACAGCTGTAAAAGCGGGGATACCGCGGTAGCTTGATGTAAACGCCTGGGGTCCATTAAACACAATCAAATAATTCATGACATGGATTTTTTATTGAAAAAATTCAAACACACAGACAGTACAAACAATAAAAAGATAAAATTAATACAAGAAATTAACATTACAGTACTAAGATATAATATTATTCAAATCATTTATAATAATATTATTCAAAATCATATATAGGCCTACAATTATTTCGAATTCGAAAATCATGTACAGGTATAACTTACAAGCGGGTATACTGCGGTAGCTAGTCATACGCGGGAATACCGCGGTAGAAGATTGATTTGAACGCCAAAGGCCCATTGCAATCAAATCATATGCACGTATACCACGGGAGCTAGTTTGGCTTTCAACTTGGAGGTGGGATGCGATCATGGGACTATTCTTCGGGACCGAATCAAATATAACTGAAACTTTATACGCGGGAATACCGCGTTAGATTGTTGCCAGAGGTCCATTTCAATCAGGCATGTTGTACATGTATAGCATAATAAGCGGGTATACTGCATGAGCCAACTTTGTTTTAAACTTTACTGGAACATATGCGGGAATATATATAAATATATATGAACGCCAGAGACCCATGTCAATCAGGCATATTGTGCATGTATAGCCCTTGTTCTTAATAGGCGGCCCGCGGGGCCATTTAGTCTGGCCCGCGCAAAAAAATTATATAATAATTTTTTTTAATCATTAAAATAAAGAATGAATAATAATTTGATGAATATTTTTCAAATAAAGTGAAGACCAAAATGGAATCCCTGAGCCTCGGGGAGGGTTTGAAGGTGGCGGTGTGAAGTAGCGCAAGCATTGAAAACTCTGGTATCCAATGACGACAATAGAAATTTGGTGCATAGACGTTGTTATTAATGTTATGCATAAGCCTATTACTAAATACAGTAACGTTTATATAGCCTCAGATAGGCGTAGATTCCATTTGGCCCACGAGACCTTAAAATTAAACCGCCACCAATTAAAATTACAGTAAACATAATTAATATAAAAAAATAACTCCATTGGCATGCCCTCACATGTTTGTACATAAGAAGTCAGCCGGCTATTTTTAGAATCTGACATTCTTTCCTTGGACAACATTCCTGAATTAGCGCGTATGAAGACCTTGATCGTCTCCGATAACAAGTCTTGTTTGGCGGCGTACAAAGAATTTGTTACTGACATGGTGTCAAGTTCTCTAAGAGTATCGTGGGAACCGAACTTGTGGGAAGCTTCTCATTGAATTCATCGTTTCTAGGCAACTTTAGTAGAGTACTGGGAACTTTATATTCTTTTAAAAAATTATTGACTACAGTGCACCCTCTAATTAATAATAGGCTTACTTGGCTATGGACCTGCATCACACATGAGGTAGAGGTACAGGTGTTGTTATAAGGCCTGGTAACAAAAATTATTAGTTTATCACCCCCTCCTTCATCATTTTTGGGAAAATCCTGTTTTTTTTTTGTTGTTTTTTTTTGTAATGAACATATTTTTATTTCAAACGATCATCTTTCCACCTTTTATGACTTGAAAAGCTCAGAATTTCTTGCATTTATTTGTATTGGTACAACAAAAACATATTTTTTTAAATATAAATTTGATTCCATTCTTATGACGTTTTATAAATTTGTCCTTTGGGCCTAACCATTCATTTACCAGCAAACATCGGTAA